TTAGATAAAGTCACAGATACGAGTACTGGCACTAGTGTTACAGGTGGAACAGGTCCACAAACAATAGCGGATCTCCATCAAAAGCTTGTTCAATTAACAAGTCAGCCATCTGAAGCACTTAATGTAGGCACGCCACCTATAAGTTACCCAGCTACTCCTCATAATCACCAAATGATAGGTGGATATGATGCCTATATGCATTCTTTGCAACAGAAACTTGTTAATATTGGCATGCCAATTTCCACTACACACGGTACAGTAAGTAATTTAAAAAATATGAAAGATTAAAATATATCTGTTTCCGTTTCGTATTAATAATATGAAAAATACACAACAGGGACCTCTATCACCTCAAACTACATTACAGTCTACTGCAACCTTGGCTGATTCAAGTGTTACAACAAGTGTAGAAAATTCTGTTTTAGTTCAGGAAAGCTCGATTCATCAACTTGCACTTTCTCAAACTGTAAGTTATGTTAACATAAGTCGTAATGAAATATTTATGTTAAAAAATTCAAATTGACATAAAAATTATGAAATTTTTTGTGTCAGCACGTGGATTATTCTCTCGATAGTCCAACACCTGGAGGAGCTCCTGTAGGATCTGAAACTATGAGTCCCAGCAAAGAAAGTATAAAAGTTCGAACGCAAAGACCAGGATCTCGTCTCCAGGAATTAGAACAGGAATTAGCAAAAATTCATCATAGAGGGTCGATTTTACCAACAGCTTCGCCACAACCTTTAACACCGCCTGTATCCGTCGTTGGGTCTGTCCAAATGCAACCTACTCAAAGTTTACTGACTACCATTCCACCTATAACTGCTGTGCCTGTCGCTACTGTTACTCCCAGTGTCATTACATCACGCTCGGATACGAACACTCCAGTGCAAATAGAATCTCAAGAAAATGCTTCTGAGGTATATATAAATTACGTTCAAGCATAGTGAATTTCAGTGCATGTAAAAAGCATTTTTAAAAAATAATTGATTAATTTTAATAGAAGGTTAGTACAACACAACCTGTTAGAAAAATATCAAGATTCGTGGTTTCCAAGGTCGCAGGTCCTCCTAGTAATGCTGCTATATCAATTCAACAACATGCCGATATATCAAAAAATCAAGTAGAAGATTCAAAGGTTTATCATGTAGATGATACACAAGGTAAGTAATTCTAAATTCAATTTTCAAGGAAGTAAATCAGAAATGTTTGAAAAACAAATGTTCATGAATTACAGGTACACCAGTGCAAATAATTCATAGTCGTGAAGGTTCTTTACCACCTACACAAATTACTCAACCTATTAATGCTTCTGTCATAGAAGTAAGTACATATTTTTTAGCGAGCATGTGTTTAATTAATTTATTCATTATTAACCTAAACGTTAATATGTTATTTATAGCAATCAGAAAAGGACGAGAGATTTTGGACACTGACACCCAGCGAAGAATACCAATTGCTTATAAAAAAGTAAATTTATAAATTTATATAAAATATATTACGATTTTATAGTAAATTGAAAACTAATTTTATCTTAATGCATATAGACAAACCATGGAACTGGAAACATTGCAGAGAAGACACAGAGAAGAATTGGAACGATTTCAACAGCATCAATTGCAGCTATTAATTCAACAACAACAGCAAGCAAGTGCGCTTCATCAACATCACCATCAACATCATCCAGTTCTTTATCATACCGTTGCAACTAGTGTGACAGGTTAGTGAACTTTTAACTTAAAACTTTAAACAATTATTCGATTATTTCAATTATTATATTTCATCGTCTGTCTATTAATGATGTAATCTTTTTCCTAACAGGACAAACTAGACTTCCAGGTACAGAAGATTATTTAATGTTTAATACAACACCCCAAACTCCTTTGCAAAAAGCTCCAAGTAATTATCCAGATACGGATGAAACATTACGATTAGCTATGCAGAAATTGAAGCAAACTCCTCTGCAACTACAATCACAACAGGCAGCAACTGGAATACCACATGCTTATGTTATTCCAATTCCAGTAGTGCCTTCTGAAACTATGCAAAATGTGTCTACTCAACAATCTGCTAGTTATTCGAGTGAAATCACAGAATCTCTTGAACCAGTACATAATCCGGCAATTATAAATCCTGCGCAATATCAGTTCACACCTATTTTATCAGACGGAACAAATATTGCAGTATCTTCTACTGGATCATTAGTCACACCTATACCGATATCAAGTTCAACGGGAAGTGGGGCTTACATTCAGTATCACGATAATCAAACGTTATCAAATTTTCAAACATTCAGCTGTACACCACATGGTGGTTTCTTTTTACCAGCTGGCTATCGACTAATATACGCTCCACCTGGCGGAACATCACAGTCTCAACCAGCTACGCCAGCTACCCCACATATAGGAAATTCTCATGATGGTACACCGCCGGCAGAACCTTTGCATACCACAAATGTCGACAATTCAACAGCTCCTTCTTCCCATATCGATCAATAACGTAATCTTCAACGAGTTTTGATCTATATTTTTCGATTTATTCATTTTTCTAACACATTCTTTATTTAAACGTTGCCCTTTATCCACTAGTATGAGAATCATGCATTATTACGATTGTTATTCTATTATAGTTTTGCTAATTGCTACCCTCATCCTCGTGGATATGTATGCGAGGAGACGCGAATGAAAGTATTTAGGATGTATTCGATATTGTAACATCCGTACGTAATCGCTGAAATATTCTCGTTATCTATGCGTGAGCATGACATTATCTGATATGTGCCTCGCAAGAAAATTAAAACCTCGATTCGTACACGGAGAATATTTTGAATTAAGCTTCTGGACAAAAAACGATAGGAAAGAAAAAAAAATAAAATATTGAAATTGAGGATAGAGGCCTTTACATGTACTGTGCTTATACCTTATTGTAGTAAATATCCTTCTTTAGTGAAAATGCTTATTAAAAGACCTTTTCTGCTCTCAATTTATTGATAGCACAGTCCACACTAGTACAGGCCTCAGCTAGTCTTACAAATGATGGCATATAGCCATTCTACTCGATATATATGTATAACTGTTAATGTATACTGAATGCTTTGGAGAAAGAGTGTATGTTACGTGTGCATGTATGTGATTGCAGGAGTCAGACAGAAAAGAAATATGATTAATATAGTCACTGTTATGCTTTAATGTATTTCTAGCGATTTTACCTACTTCAATTAAAAAAAAAGTCATGTGTTACTAGTTAGCGGTCTTATGTATCTTATCTAATATTATATCAACTATTATCTTTTTTAGACTCGATTGTGAATATTTTTATCATAGCGTATTTAATTTATCGAAGTTTATTTCACTTAAATTGGCATTTCATTTACAGTACGTTTTGAAATATATTTGCACAATCCATTCCTTTGAATATTTTAGGAATTTTTGTTATTTAGCACTTTAATTTCTGATGAAAATAATAGTAGTCATCATAAATATTGAGAATCTAATTTAAAAAAAAAAAAAGCTCAATAGAGACATGACATAAGTATGAAATTCATACATGTTTTAACGATATCAAAAATCTCGAAAAATATATTTTAAATTTTCATCTGTGCTATCACATATTGCATTTTGCAATATAGTTAAGAATAGCTTATTTGTATAATTACAAATATTACTATTGTTCATTGGTGATCATAATGTTATATTTATTTCGTTCAAATAATTGCAGTTCATGTCGCTTTTAATGTTGCGATTTACTACTGCTTTCAGCATGAATTTATTATTGTCAGTATTAGAATTTCAAAAACTATTTTATAATTTTGAATATGAAGTTTTTTCTTCTAATCTTCAAGTTATTAGTACTCGATCATGATATAGATATATTAAATTCCACCCGATTGTTCTATATATACATACAATTTATTTTTAAGTTTTGCATATCACAATTTTGTTTTCTTTTTTCAGTTTATTGGTGAAAAATACGATTATATCTTTGAATATTGAATATTGAATCCAGTTGATCCACCTGATAATAAATTCATGTGGCTGTTGAACGAAACATTGTAATAATTGTATGTATTTCTTATGGAAATACGTTGCAATTATTCTTATATAGCTATTTTAAATAAATTTATTAGATAATACTCAAAGAAAATGCATAACATATAATACTTAATGTACATATTATTCATTTACTGTTAGGTGGATTGGCTTTCGATAAAAATACAGCTTCTATGTTTGTTAATAAAAGCTGAGTATATGAAATTTCGAAAATAAACTATGTTTAAATGTAATAATTTACAGTGATACAATTTGCTAAAAATCGACTTTTAATTTTTTAAACTTATTCATTGAATGTGATGAAATGAATGAAATAAGACAATAGAGATAAATATTATTTCATCAACACAGCATTGCAACGGACTACTTCCTTCCAAATACATTATACATAATGTGATTTTAACTATACTTAGTATTATGATAATAATATAATTGGAGTAAATTTTTGTAAAACATTTTTGTTGTTTTACCAAAGAATACCAAACAATACTGTTACATACAAGAAAAAAATTACAACATGAATTTATCATAGTTCTTTTCTACTAATATGGCATCTAACTTGATGGAATTGAACTTAGTACATTCAGACGTAGATATTATAATATATTTTTCAGAAAATATGACAAAAAACAAGTAAATCATATTTTGCTACATTTAAAAATTTCACACATAAAATCTTAGTGCATATTGTTGGATCAGAATTTAATGAACTAATTTATTAAAATTATTTAATTTATTTAACAAATTCATATAATTAATTGCAAGTATATTATAGGCAATTTGTTGATTTATATACATATATATATAATATATATAGATTATATATATAGTATATATATAGTATGTACTGTATAAGTATACTGTTTTAAGCATATAAATATATCATATAATATTTTAAAAATGCAAATGTGAAAAATGATGTTTCTTTCTGTTAAATAATGAAATATTTTGCTTTTTCAAATTCTGAATGTAAAAAAGCAAAATCTTGACTTGAATAACAGACTTAATTAAATTTATATAAAAATTATAAATTATCTTTAAAATTTCACTGTACAAAAATTTGAAACTTATGATTACAGCATACAAAAAATGCTTTTTAAAGAATTGTATGTAACTATTATAAAAAATTATAATTACGTTTTAAAATATCTTGTAATAATGCTTGTAATAAAAATGGAAAATATGAAAATGTTTAGACAAAAATAATCGAAGAGCTTTTCTGTGCTAACTAGTACATAAGTTCACATATGCTTTAAAACTTATGTAAGCTACATTATATGAAATTCTACAAAAAATTTTGTAAAGACTGATTAGATATGCATCAGCATTGAACAAATTGCAAAAAATAACAAAATCAACTTGAACTCTTCACTTGTATGGAGAAAAATTGTAACTAATAGAGATATATAGAAATTATGTTGATATGAACTACTTTGTGATCAGATCATCAATATATAGAAATAATTTAAATTCTCAGAACAATATTATCTTCCATTCCTTATTTGAAAAATAATTACATCAAAATGTAATTTATGATGTTAATTAATAGATTGTATATTTATGAAATTTATGAATATATTATGTAGACAACAATATATAAATTTTTTAATTAGCATTGCATGTAATATATATCTTTAAATAATATTTTTCAATATACATTTACATACAGTTAGTTTTAAACATGAAATTATAAATTCATTGAAATTCTTTTACATGCATTTTCTGTTTCGAAATCATCTATTGCAAAAGACTGTAAAGAAAATTAAAAAATAGTATATCTTTAACAAATAATTGTTTCAATATATATCTACATATCTTTGTAATTTTTATTTATATTTATTTAACAATTATCTTACAATAATTGTATAGTAAATATAAAAATAGTTTATGATTATGATTATATAAATATATTAGTTTATATTAGCTATACAGCTTAATGCCAAAATTATAAAAATTATTTTCATTGTGTAAAAATTTTCATTATGAGAAACTTGATTTCTATTAATTTTAAAGCAATTCTCATATGAAATTTATAATAACAATATTAAATGTATTAAAAATATGTCACTTAAGGCATTTCTCTTTCTTAATTCTGTATGTATTGAATAGCCTGCAATTCAAATAAAATAAGTTACTAACGACAAATCATGCAAAATTAATTAAAATAAGACAATTCACTACATAATAAGAATGTAACAAAATTATTTGTTATATAAAATAAAAAACATGTCTATATACAATATTTTGATTGAAATAATTAAAAAATATTTATATACAAAATCATTTTTAAGAGTTAAATCAAATTAACTTAAATTTAATATAAAATTAATATATAAAAGTATTAATTGCTATAAATAGACTATGGATGCTTATGGATGTAAATAACAAACTGTTTTAACCTTTAGTTATTACAAAAAATATTTTACATGAAACATTTTATATATTTTTGCAAATGTATTTATATATATAGACAACATCCATAGTTATAGTTATGAATAATTGTGAACTTCAACGGCTTTTATTAAAATATATCTTTTTTTTTTTAATTATTCATAACTTGCAGCAACAGAATTAAAGAGTATACTTACTACTAATGGGATTTTTAAATCGTTTATTATTATGGTATTGTTTCCATGCGAATTCGATGACGTGCGTAAGCACCCATACAGGCAAAAAATCCAATGATTCCAATGATCAATCCGAGGATCAATGCCAAAGTATCTCCAAAATCGAAGCCGGACGATGCCATTACCGAGTCAAACGTCGCGAAAATAGCAAGCGTCAAATAAAACCACATTTTTGCGATTTACGATTAAAATAAGATTTGGTTAAATTACGATATGACAAGTAACTACAAAACCTCCACGATGGTGAATTTTAACAAACACGACATTCATGCGATTTGAATTTATATATCCTTCGCGTTTATTAAAAAAATTTTCAATTCGCTAGCAAAACTTATTGTTACCTTTTTTTTTACTTCCTTACGTCATCGCGCAAAATGTACAAACCTTTGTTTACCATGTTTTCATTTGATAATCGTGCAACTATTGTTTGGCCATTTCCTCGACATCAAGCTGTAATGCAACAATTAATATTACGAGTAAAATTTGAGGTATTTTTATATTAAATTTTCATTTCTTTAATTTCTTTAATGTCGAAGTTAATTATTCGAAATATACAAGCGATGTATATACATACGCAATAAGCAATTTAGTGTTTAACAGAATGCGTTAGAAAAAGGAAATATACATGCGAAAATAAAAAATATGTTAGTTTTTACGTGTAATATTGAATAAACATTGTAGGAAAATATGTTTCTGTATATATTATAAATTTCTGTAAATTTTCTCCAAACTTTCACATGTCCTATTTTAGAACATGAACATTTCTAAACTGTGCATGTCGAATATAATTTTTACATAAAAAGTGTAATTTTACTTAATTTAAGATTTAATTCCATGTATCATTTTAAAACTTACTTATGTTTTTTTTTTTAGTTCTTACAAAATATTTGAAATATTTTTGCAAGAATTTTGTTTTTAATTCCTGATAATTTAGTTTCACGAAAGCATATTAAAATATTACATAGTAAATTTACTACGTTACAATGTGTTATACTACATAATTTTTAATTTTTATTGTAATGTAATAGTAATTTTTACATTATAGTGTAAAAATATACTAACATATATCAGAAATTTGAAAATGGAACGTATTTCGTAAATACTTCTGACATTGAAATAAAACTTTTACAAGTTTTGTTCGAAAAATAATTATCCAATCAAAAGATAAATTTTATTCGTAATGTTCAGATCAGCCTATTTACGAATGCAACCGAAGCAACCTATTTCAGTAAAGATAAAGATGTATCTTTGCGATGTTTAAGGTGGCGTCACTTGCTTACTGGGGAAGTATAGAGAGAAATATTATATTGGCGCGTATCGACCGAGCAAAAACAATTTTCACCCCTCGTCGCTTACACATTTCGGCTATTTTGACACAGGTAGAGTAAATAAAACTACAAATATCTAGTTTGTTTTCAAAATATGACTTTTATTATATTATCATGTTAGCATGTATCTTTTTCAAGGGAATAATCGTTGCCGTTTTGTAGCCATTTTGCTATCCGTTGATAAATGCAAGACATATTCGTACCGACTGGTGAATCGCCGCGTACCTTTTGTCATATATAAAATGCTAATGCTTATTCTAGTGTTTTGGCTGATCTTCGCCTATAAACGTTCTTTTCTTCCTTTTTTTTTTTAAGCACAGTGCTATATTAATGAATACATGCATTTAACAAGTGCATAACGCACGATGTAGAATCTTCGAATGTTGTGTAAATTAATTTGAAGGCAAATAGATATGAAGGGCACAATTGCATTTATATTATCTTTTTAATTTATTAGTCTTCTTTAATTTTGTATGTATTCTTGTTTCATTGTATGATTGAAAAAGATATATGTAACATTGAAATTTTTATGAATACGTCTTTCGTATATATGTATATATATGTATATAAAAACATACAACATATACATGTATACATATAAAATAATGAATAATAAAGCATATATTTTTACAATGTATAAGATTATATATTCATGCAATTTATAGAAAAAGGTATGTCTTAACTGTTAACAAATTGTAAACTAAATGTTTTTAGTTACATTTAAGTGATGTTATATATATTACCATGTATAATAAATATATGTTTGAAACCTAAGACATACATGTGTAAACTACTATCAATTGTATTATTATTTTTACTTTAATAAACAGTTAATTTATCAATTATGCAGTTTGATTCAGTTATCATAAATTTTCTATTTTATATAATCCTTTCCTATATATTGTGATGTATTTTGATATATTTTAATAATCATGGAGACTTAATGTTTGATGTCAAATAAAGATCAATTCAGAAATAATAAAATAATATATGAATAGTTTTTTCTTTAAGATACTTGATATTGTAATGTATATAATAAATGTAAATGATACATATTTTTTTAAGCATTACTTGGACCTCAAGATTTAGAACAATACCTATTATGGAATTGTCACATGAAATATTGGATACAATAGATGTTAATGATGACAAAGATGTGATGGAAGTAATAAAACATGCGATCACAGAGGAAAATATTATAGTAGAATCAGAAACTACGGAAGAAACAGAAATAGAAGAAATTATAGAAATAATAGAAGAAATAGAAGAGGACAAGGAACAAAATGATGTTATTTTTACTGAAAATAAAAATGAAAAAATTAAATCAGAAATGGAAGTTTATGCTTTTGACGAAGGTAGTTCTGTCTTTAAAACACATTCTGAAACTAAATATGAAAAGAAAGATCGATATAAAAGTAGTAATAAACAAGTTATAGCGTATGATGTAGATGAAGATTGGCAAGATGAAGATATGGAAGAAGAAGAGGAATATGAACTGAGATTTGAAAATTCTAGTACTTCAAATAATTCTACAGAATCTTTGCAAAGGCAAGGAATATCAAATGACGATAAAAAATATGTAAATAATCAAACAATTTCTTTACCATTACAAACAAGTAGATCAGAATCTAGAGATAATATAGAATTTTCAGACAAAGCAGAAAAATCCAAATTGAATTTAGAGTTCAAAAATAATGTGAATAGCGACGAGAATGTTGATAATAATGTAAGTCATGAAATTGTAAAAAATGTTGAGAACAATCTATTATACACCGTTCTTGGTACAAAGAAGCAAAGCTCAGTAAAAACATTTCAGACAGATAAACTTTCAGATGCTCACTATATTAAAGTTTGTATTAGTTTATCAATTATTTCATCATAGGTACTATTGTTGTATGTGTAAAAGTGATAATTCTCTTTTTAGATGGAACAGCTTGATGAAAATACTATACCAGTAGGAGGAACAATTTATTATGATGCAGATAATATAGAAACATTGTATGTTGCACAAACAGTAGATGACAATGAACAATATTATGATACTGCAGCAATGGAAAATGAGGAGCAAGTATGGGAAACAACTAATGCAGATACCAATCAAAATCAAGAAAAAGAAAATTCTCAGGTATTAATTTAAGATTTGAATGTTTAAACTTATTTCTTTACTTTTCTTCATTTATTAAATAAATCTCCATTCATTTTAAATTTTAGGACCAAATATTTTTACATGAAGATGAAGATGGTCAATTATATTTCAAGGATGAAACTGGTATTTTACAGCCAGTGTATTTAACCGAAGATGGACATTATGCCATTGCAGAGAACATGGATGATTATGAAAGCAGATTGTCACAAATGAAATATGAACACAATGCTAGACAAGTAGAAGAATCTTACTCTGTACCAGATAATGAACTTAAATCTACTCATAATAATAAACAGGTATTTTGAATAAAATACAAAACAATATCAAACATACTAAAACAATATCAAAAACATTTCACTATTTTCATCTGTGTTACTTTTTAGAACTCTATAATGTCTGCTGCTGATCTTGATAACGAAGATAATACTGTAACTATATCGCTGATAATATCCGAAGATGAGCATGGACAGAAAAGAACACAAGTCATCATACCAACAACGGATAACTTAAAGTGTGATATTTGTAACAAAAGCTTTAAAACTTCATTCCAATTACTTCGACATAATAGACTGAAACACGCCCGTGAAGAAGATATTACAACCAGGAATTTCCCATGTGATTTATGTCCTAAGAGGTAACTTTTAATGAAAGTCAAATCTTTTATTTTTTTATTAATTGTAATAATAATCCTTTCTATTTACTTTCTATTATTTTAGATATCCAGATCAAAATTCCTTAGCCCGACATAGAAAGACTCATACAGGTGACCGACCATTTCAGTGCCTCGAGTGTCATAAAAACTTTCCAACATCTACCGCTCTTCGTCGTCACTTGACACTTCATAATTCACAATCTCGACCTCTTCCCTGCATTTACTGCGGTCGTCGCTTCGTAGATAAAGCTAGTCTGGTCAAACACGAGCAGTCGCATTTGGCTGGTGATCAGCGGACCCACACATGCGATGTATGTCATAAGTCATTCTTACATGCAACTGATCTGAGTCTACATAAAAAATATCATGATCCTGATAAGAAATTTGACTGTGAGGTTTGTGGTCGAGAGTTCAACAGATTGAACAATTTGCAGAGACATATGATGGTACATCAACAAGTACGTATGATCAATACGATCTTAATGTTTAAAACGTTCGGGTCTCGTAAGAAAAAGAAATGTTTCTATATCTTTTTGCCATTTCTCTCATATTTTCTGCAACTTGTACGTACTACGTAAAATTAAGAAACTTATATAATACAATAGGAATTGATGTATTTCAAATTATACAGTTACAAGTATTTTTAACTCTTTTAAAGGTAATAATTTAATTATAATTCAATTATAACGTATGGCTTTTTTTTCATTTCAAAATTTTAGCAAGGGGCAAATGAAGAAATACTTTCTTGCGACGTATGTGGCATCACCTACAAATTCATGAGCTCGTTGACAAGGCATATGGTGACGACACATATGAATCCAGAAAAATTGAGGCAACAAGCGGAAGAACAACGAAAGAAACGTGAAAATAATTACCGTCGTTACCTAGAAAATCGAAAGATGTATGAAACTCAGCATTCAGGAGGATACGGAGCAAAACGCAATTATCACAATACACGTATACTTAGTAACGATGAAGCAGCTTGATTTGCATTTCCAAGCTATCACCCAATGATCGCCAGAAAAAGTACCATAGTTTTTCAAATTAAAAAGAAATATAAAGATGATAAATATTTATGTATAACATAAGGATATTTCTCTATAATTTTTTTTTTCGCCAAGGATAATTGTATAAATCTAATTTATCGTTGTTTAAACCTAATTTAACGTATAACACAAGGATATTTCTCTATCATTTTTTTCGCCATAGATAATTGTATAAATCTAATTTAATAAATATATGAATTGTGTAGTGTTTGAAACATGTATCTTTACAAAATTCAGGTATGTACTTTAGAAAAAATATGGTATACGTATGTGTGTTTGAAATAGAATATGTATATATAAATGTATTTCATTTTTATTGTACACTAGGTATTTACATTGTAGATACAATTGTTATTATAATATAGTATAAAATATTACTATAGTAATATAGTAATTAGTAATATTTTAATATATATTTATTTTATTGTAATTTCCTTGTAATTATAATCATATAATCTAGGTAAGTACAAAATATTGTAAAAGTGAAAATGAAAATTTGTAAATCAAAATTTTTCGTACAAATATCACTTAATAATGATTATTATCATTATTAATATTAAAAATGAGTAAAAATAATTTTTTTAATTCAAATTTATATGAAAATCATATTAAAACATGAAAAACAAGTATTGTTAATGTTTTAATATTCATATTATTTTTTATTTATTCTTTATAATTAAATTTAGCTAAAGGTTCGAATGTAAAAACGTGTATATATACATATATGTATTATATATGTATTAATGAAAATTAAATGTTAAGATATGATAAATAATTTTTCTTTCAATAACATAAACTCATAAATGTAAATCAACTGTTGTTAATGTCTTTATCCCCACCACGTGTATTTTAGTCTGTCACATGATAGATACGAAGTGATTCGATAATAATGTAACACATGCTTTGCACAATATTACATCCATCTACAATACATAACAAATCAGTTTACTTAAATCATTGTTCGAAACAAAATGAATAGGAATAGTTATTGTAATTATATTGGAATATAAATTTTATAATTTCTTTACAGTCGAGTGATAAATATTAATTGATATAGGAAGACAACAGGTAAATAAAAATATGAAATATTCGAAGTAACGAACAATCATTTAAAAAATCTATATTTGAAATTAATTGAAGATTACTATTAATTTTATTTAAGTGAACAAAATAAAAATTTAGGTCAAGTAAATGAAGTAGAAATTTGAATAATTATTTTAGCGAATATTAAGAATTTATATTTATTATAAAATAATATGAAAATTATTTTTTCTTAATCGTTACGTAACAAAAATTTTTCTTTGATATATGCAATAAAGAAATTGTAATTTTTTTATATAATAATGATTTATATATTATTATCTTTAATATCTTAATTTAGCAAAGTTCAAATTTTGTAATATGTGTAATATTAATACATTAACACTTTATATATTGTAGATTTACATAGATACCAGAAAGGCACAAAATAAGAGATAACTAATCTAATTTTAAGTATTTCCTTATGAGCAAAGATCATACGCAGTTTTTAAATATTATCAATATGGAGAAGAACAATGCATTCTTACAAGTACACATAGAAAGACCTGTGTATGAACAAGAAACTTTAAATAAAGATTGTCATTATGAAAAACCAAAATCACTTGGTATGCAGAGAATAAGATTTTATTATTTTTTAATATAAATATCACTTACAATAGTGTTAATTTTGTCGCAGGCTTTCAAGATGCAATATGTGACTTAAAACATAGAAATTGGAAATCATATTTTACATCTACAATCCCTTCGATACATTGGCTGAGAAATTACAATTGGAAAGAAAGTATAATGCCTGATGTAATTTCTGGTTTAACTGTAGCAATTATGCATATTCCTCAAGGCATGGCTTATGCACTTTTGGGAAATGTACCTCCAGTAGTTGGAATATATATGGCATTCTTTCCTGTCTTGGTATATTTTTTCTTTGGCACGTCTAGGCATGTGTCCATGGGTAAGGAAAAAAATTTATTTTAACTTTAATCGTATAACGTATTAGGGAAAACTATTAAATGTTTTATTGAAATCAAGATCTTTTTTTAGTGTTTTACATTTGATGTATACGTTCTTTGTAAAATACTACTTCTATTACAGAAATGTTACAAATATCTCCTTTTAATAAGAACTTATTAGACAAGCTAGAACAATGAAACATTATTGGCACTCATCAGGAACATTCGCTGTGGTTTGCTTGATGACTGGGAAAACTGTGGCATCTTATTCGGTATCACACATTGATATTACAAATTCAAGTACTACAACTACATTGTCCAATTTGCCTGGAGAATATTATTATACACCAATGCAAGTTGCAACAGCAGTGACACTCATGGTTGGAATAATTCAGGTACCCAAATGAATAAATTTAATTTAAAATAAATTCATTTTATAGATGGCAATAATAATTATTTTTAGATCATAATGTATACATTTCATCTGGGTATTATAAGCACATTGCTTAGTGATCCATTAGTGAATAGTTTTACAACTGGTGCAGCAGTCTGTGTTTTGATATCTCAAATTAAAGATTTATTTGGTTTGAAAATTCCAAGACAAAAGGGATATTTCAAGTTCATTTTTGTGAGTACAGAATATTAAATTTATTTAAAAATAAATTGCAAATATGTATAAATTAAATGATAAAATTATTTCAGACATTGATCAATATTTTTAAAGAAATACAAAATACAAATTTAACTGCTTTACTTATATCATCAATAACAATTGTTGGCCTTGTACTTAACAATGAATTTTTAAAGGTAATTTTTAATCGTTCGAATTTTTTTATTGAAAGATATAAATAATAATTCTATTGTTATTTTAGCCATGGGCAAGCAAAAAGTGCAGTATCCCAATTCCAATTGAGTTGATCGCAGTTGTGAGTGGAACTTTAGTTTCAAAATATTTTTGTTTTTCTACTATGTATAATATTCAAGTTGTGGGTAATATTCCTACAGGGTATGTGTAAATTTTTAATTTGATTATTTTTCGCAAATTTAATTACAATTTTCTAACTTTTTACAGACTACCAACACCAACAGTTCCAACATTTCAACTCTTGCATTTGGTAGCAACAGATAGTATTGCTATAACTATGGTTTCTTATACCATTACCATATCAATGGCTTTAATATTTGCACAAAAATTAAATTATAAAATTAATTCAAACCAGGAACTTCTTGCCATGGTAAAGAATAAAGTTTTTTAATATAATTTTTAAATATATGTATATACTATGCATGTAATAACTATGTATTATATATATATGTATATGTATATGTATATATATATCATTATTATAAAATCTAATTTTAGGGTTTGAGTAACGTAGCAGGATCCTTCTTTTCATGTATGCCAGTATCAGCATCTTTAAGTAGATCTCTAATTCAACAAACTGTTGGCGGTCGGACGCAAATAGCTAGTCTTGTATCATGTACAATATTGCTTATAATTCTTTTATGGATTGGTCCATTTTTTGAACCTTTACCAAGATGCGTTCTTGCATCAATTATTGTTGTAAGTATAAACATCTTGAAAATGTACAATCGATAATTTCGTAATATTCAATCCTCTTCTTTAGGTAGCTTTAAAAGGAATGTTTCAGCAAGCCAACCAGCTCATAAAATTCTGGAAACTAAATAAATCTGACGCATTAATTTGGATTTTGACATTCTTGACAGTCGTAATAGTAAACATCGATATTGGTTTGTTAGCTGGAATGATAATATCGCTTGCAATTATTTTATTACAAAGTCTTAGACCTTATATCTGTTTATTGGGATACATACCAAATACAGATTTGTATTTGGATATGAGCAGATTCAAAGCGGTATACTGTTTTAAACTAATAATATTTTTTACAAAAAAGGAATGTCTATAATTAGCATATTTAAATCATTTTCAGGCAATAGAAATTCCTGGAATAAAAATTGTTCATTATTGTGGAACTCTGAACTTTGCAAACATCAGTCATTTCAAAGCAGAATTATATAGATTAGTCGGAGTAAATCCAACAAAAGTCATAGAACATAAAACTGAGTTAAGAGAAAAAGGAATTTATATGGATACAGAAGATTCAGAAGACAAACAAGAATTACGATGTATAATAATGGATATGAGTGCATTAAGTTATATTGATTCTAGCGGTGTAATTGCGTTAAATTCAGTAATGAGAGAATTTCAACAAATTGATGTGCATTTTTATCTTGTAAGTTGTAGAACTCCCATTTTTGAGACTATAAAAAAATGTGATTTATATTTATATGGTACACTTACATTTAAGATTTTTGCAACTATACAAGATGCCAAAACATATTTAGAAAAAGAACTTTATTCGAGATAATATATGTAAATCATCATACTTACATGTTATATAATATTTGTTTTATATATATATATATATATATATATATATATA